CCCGGTGCTCTGTGGTCGGATTTGTGACGCCGCCGCACCGCGCCGCGGCCGGGGGCCCGCCGGAGGCCAAGGATGGCCGTGGCGGACCGGGACGAGCTCTGGGAGGTAAAGTGTCAGTGTATATATTGTAGAGGCCAACCATATGCACAATATCTCTCAGTCTAGCTAAGCCAGGGGAGGCGATGCCGCGGCCGTACAGCAGATTGATGGTGCTTCGCCGGCGTGCGTCCCGGAGCGGTGCCGGACGGGCGGTCCGTGGGAGGAAAACTCAGGACAACGCCGACACTGCTCTGATTCGACTTTTGACTTCAAACAAAGCCTACCGCACGCGCCGCGACGCGGCGCGTGCGGTAGGCACTCGGGATTTTGTCAGATCGGCGTGTTCACGCCGGGATCGTGTCCTGAGTAACCTGGGCAACCATTCAGGGCGACGAGTAGGGGGTCTGTGCCCCATGACTCGCACCAAAACGCCCTACCTACCTACCTATTGCGGGCGCCAATCGCCAGGCTCCGTGCCCCACCTACCTACCTATTCCCAGGCCGCGCAGCGAAGCGAAAAAATCCGGGCGCGTTCGCCGGCGCTGCCGTCCCGGCCAAGTCGGCCAGGGCGATCGATTGGAAACCTCTCGACGTGGACGCACGAATAAGGCCGTGCAAAACTAAGGCCGTGCAAAACTCTGGGGGGGGGGGGGGGGGGGGCAGGTTGGTACTTTTAATTCGAACTCACCCACACGTGGCACGTGGCACACTGGCTGGGCCTGAGGTTACTTTTTGAGACTGGGAACCGAGCAAGTGCGCTCGCCGGTCCAAAGTGGGGTCGCGGGTGGCCATGCGAAGTGGTTTCGCGCACTGCCCGCTGTAGCCCCCCCGAGGCGCCGGAGCGTGACCGAGTGTCGCCCCATGACCCCCGGCGCCGGCCCGAGCGCTGAGACCGAATGTGAAGCCAATGCGCGTGCGCCCCAAGCGCGGCACTCCTCGGCTACGGCATGCTGACACGGATCCCTATCCTCTCAGATTGCTATCGATCGGCGATATTGGATCTCGCACGCGACGTCGACGACTGACAAGGTAAACGCACTTTGTCAATGTGCAGGTCGAGCTACCAACCGTTGCGGAGCGGTTCAGCCTCGGAAGCCATACTATGGTGAGGCGGGGATTAGGTGGGAGGGCATGCGCTCGCACACATGAGTCCGGGAGAGCTCCCCGCCGGCGCTTGGTGCCCCAGCCAGCTCCGCCTTGCCGCGGCCCCTACGCAGGCGTCCAGCACCGACATCGTTTGCGAGCGTCGGGTGTTGGCTACTCTCTAGCCCCGTCACCCACCGCGCCGTCACCGGCCGCTTCGCGGCGTGCGAAACGCTCGCGTCTCCGCCACCGCTGGCCACCTCCGCGTTTCCCTGCGCCGCCACCAGGGGGGCGCTTGCGCCTTGCCCCCTGGCCTGACGCGCGACCCTGCGCAGACGGCGCGCTCCGGCACGGAGCAGCGACCGCCCAGGCAGTCGCTGCTCCGCCCGCGCACCGCTGCCGCCGTCGCCGCCGCCGCTCCGCCCTTTCCATCAGTGTGTCTCGTGTGTGAGAGTGTGCTGTCTGTCACGCTTGTACCTGCGAGCTGCGTCTCTCCTCCGAGGCTCAGGCTGTGTCTCCTCTCATAGATCTGTCTCAACGAACCGCTGTCGCACATCTTTGAGTCAAACTCTCTCCTGTCGGTGTCGAGGCTGTCGCGTGTCGTGTGCGCGCGGCGATTGTAACCCGGGAGGCCTGCGCAGCTTCTAACGATGCACAAAAACGGGCCACACAAATGCCGTAAAGGACAGGCGTGGGACGTGAGGAGACGCGCGGCCGACACCGCCCAGCAGCGGCTCTGCGGAGACACACACAGGAAGGCGCACGATGCGTACAGTGATCGCTGTCATGCGCCATCACCGACGTCGGGCGGGAGAGGAGCTCCAGCCAACAGTAGTGGCGAGCCAGTTTGCGCTGCACGATGAAATAGTACTCGTGCTGACGCATCCTCGCCCGAGTCATATTCCAAATGCCCTGCGACAGCCCGCGTGCGACGGGAAGAAGAGGTGCGAGGCTGCGAAACTAAGAGCTTGATCGCGCCTCCAACGTCAGCGTCGGGCGCAGTGACGAGCTCGAGCAGCTCTCGTCGAGCAAGCTCCGCCTCCGAGCTCTCGCAGCAGCCATGCGCGTGCGCGCAGCCCAGGATCTCGCTCAGCGCCTCCGTCCTGGGGTTTGAAGCAGGTCCGCCGTAGCGCTCCACGCCTGCGCCGGCGGCGGGCGGTGTAGAAGGCCGCTCGCGATGGCTCCGTCGTGTGCGTCGACCGTCCCACCTCAAGTGGTGACTACCCTCGCTGTCGCGTGGCCGCTTGGGAGCGGCGCCGACGCTGCCGTTGAGTCTGTCCGTGGCCGCCGCGTCACTCGGCACGGAAGCCTCCTTGCCAGTGGACATGCCGGGGGGGCGTGAGGGCCTGGAGGGTGACACAGACGCGCAGGGGAGCGCGCGCCGCCGAAGTGGTTTGGCGCACACCTCGACGAGGAGGGTGGCCACCCCTCGGTTCCCAGTCTCAAAAAGTAGCCTCAGCACTTGGAGTGCAGTCATTAACCTCTCTTTTTGATTTTTTTTCACGCACACAGGGTAAGGCCCGACGAGCTTCGGCAGCGCTGCCTGCTGCACGCGCGGGCGTTCACCCACAGTGGTGTGGCGTATGTTACCACCACCGCTGCCGACGACCCTCGACGCCTCCATCGCTGCTGGCCTCGTCAAGCAGCACGGCCGCCTGCAGCCTCTGGACGAGCGGCAGGCGGTCCTCTGCGACGCTTCGATCGAGCGCGTCCAGCCCAGCTGGCGGCCCGCTCTGGACGCTGCGCTGGCCGAGTGGCTCGCGCTTCCAAAGGAGGTGACCGGCCTCTCCTTGATTGCCGTCTACGCACGCGGCTCCATCGTTCGAGGCCTCGCTCTCGAAGGCATCTCGGACGTCGACACGCTCGGCTTTGCGACGGTCTCTCACTCGGACGCGGACTCGGAGCTGAAGGCGTGGCAATCCCGCGGCTCCGAACGTGCCCGCCGCATGCGCAGCGCCTACCCCTTTTGCTCGGGTCTCGAGATGCGCCTGGTCTGCCTGCCGGAGCGCAACCACTTTGGGCGGGGTGGTTGCCCCGGGGACGCCGGAAGCGCCCGCCTTCGTTTGGCGAACATTAGGCTTCCGGGGGGCTGGACGCGTTTCCGGCCTCCCGTTGAAAGCCCGTTTGGCCTTGCACGGGGTTCCCAACCT